TTTACAAATTTTATAAAATCGCATAACAATCAAAAAATGTAGCATATGTATCTTACAGCTTCATTATTACGTATACAATATGGTACAGTACACATTTATATTAATAAATATAGTACCGTACTATACTGTACAGTACAAGAATTTGATCGTACCGTACATAATTTCTACATACTGTATATATATATACTATAGTGAGCCAAGATTTATACATAATGTCTAGGCTGTTAATCATTTTTGACGCTTAGTTGATCCTGCAATATAACTGAAATATGAAGAAATAATAAAAATAAAAAAATTTAAAAAGGTCTTTAAAGACCAATACTTTCGTACCCTATGTAATTATGTTGAATAAATTCATTAGATTTATCAATTTGCGAATGAAAAGACTATAAAATAATTTAAAAAATGACTACATACCGTGCTTCTTTAAAATTTTGTAAATTATATGCATTATTAAATTTAATAATCATCTCTCTGGTACTAGCCATATTCTTTTTTACAACCTTGTCATTCTTGTTAAATATATCTGGGTTTGGAGAAATGATCCATCTATTTTTGATGGATTTCAAAAATTCCTTCATCGATGGATTAAGCCTACTTTCTATACGATTTTCTTCAGTTTGCTTCTTAGTCACACCAGAAAAAGCAACTATCATATGGTCAATAACACCATCTCCAAGAAATTTTTTAATCAAACGAACAGTTTCTTCAAAATTTTGGTGGTTATTTATATCTAATTAAATTAAAATAAAATAAATTAGCAACATTCTAAAAAGGTTTCCAACAAATAAAATAATGATTATAATAGTAATAAATACTAATAACAAGGATTATCGCTTGAATTCCATAAGTACACAAATCAATTAAATTTTCAATTCTTGATATGTGTTCAGCATTATTAATCATTGCATCGAATACACCCGGAGTATCAACTAGAATAAATTCTCTACCATCAATTTGAATTGAATTTGATTGGCATTCTCTAGTGACATAACCCTTAAAATAATGAAATACAAATTAAAGTAGCATTTTCTTAAAAAGTTAAACAAATAACGTGTGTTAACAAACCATCGTGCTATCTGCAACAAATAAATTACTATCAGATATCCAATTTCCTAATGTACTTTTACCAGCACCTATAGGAGTGCATAAAATTTGTAAACAAACATTATTACATTTGCTAAATAAAGTCAAAATAAAGTTAATTAGATATCTACCGGTGCATCCCACGATTAAAATCGCAGTATTTTTAACCTCTTTTGGATTTATATTAAATTTTTGCTTAATTTTTTCACTTTCCATGCTAAATTAAACCTGCTGAAAGGTTATATTATTTATCAGCTATGATTATTGTAATTATTATCATTTGAATTATAGCTGGACTTGGAATACGGAGAGAGGCACCTTTTTTTTTTTTAAAAGGTTAAGGTCAAGGTACTGTTATCCTCGAACTACTTTAAGTTTGATATAATGAAATTACTTTAGTGACAAATCTATTAAATAAACAATAAAGAATTGTGTTTGTGTTAAAAGTATGTTATTTCACGGTTAAGCGTTAAAGAAGATTATATTATAATTTGCAATTACGAAAGAGCTCACTATTAAATATTGTTATGAATAATCGTAGCAATAGATTTCTTTAAAAATACTATTGTTTATAGTGTGCAAAATTCATATTAGTTTCTGGTGGGATTTCGGGGCTATTTATGCATATCATTTAACTAAGATGGATAGCTATTACATCTATTGATTATCTAACAATTATATAAGTTATGTTAATCTGACTAAAGAACAGAAATATTAGATACAACTATATTTTATGCTTAAGTATTTCTATCAGCAGATTAATAGTACTTGATTTTATTTTTTACTTATTTGTAGTGAGAGACAAACGTGAATAGAGTAGTATTTTTGTGTGAATTGTTGTTATAGACTATTGAATTCAGACTTCAATAAATCCAAATTTATATGTCTACTAGTATATAATGGTATGTCTTTTAAAATTGTTGACATTTTTTTAAATTATGTAATCATAGAATTCTACGATCCATTGTGAAGGCAATATAGTATGCATCATTCATAAGATTCATAGAATTCTATGATCGCATTAAAAAAATAGAGATAACATATATATTAATTTTGACAGATAATAACTCAAAGATAATGTATATTTAAAACATTGTGATTCAAGTTCCCAAAAGAGACTGGTGCTTGGATCCATTGAGAAATTTATTTGTTGATCCGACGGATACCGTATCCGAATATTTTTATCCAGTGGATACATTGGATCATTCGAAATAAACTCACGCTGAGGTTTTATTTGACAATACCATAATGGTGACCAATAAGTTTAATTTCGATAGACTCAATTGATTTACCAGCGAATCTAATAATTTGCCGGATTGAAAAAAAAACGGTTGGATATAAGCACTGAAAGTACATAATCTCGATAATGTCTAGAAGTTTTTGCCTCCAACTTAAGCTAATAGTTTAGGCTTTCGACGCCCAACTATAACTATGACGCTAACTATTTAAGACTGTTCCTTCAGGAAAATGACCTCCGGAAAATCTACTAAAACCTAATTTATTAGTAATCAAAATTATATAATCATAAAAAGGCTTTACGAAGGTACATCCGTACGTATAGTACATATCTGAACACATCTATGTACGTACAGTACGTACGTACGTACATGCATATCAATATCTGCTATATGTGCAGTACGTAAATTGTACATACATAGTTAACTATAATAGGAAACAATTGGACAAAATTTGATAACGGAAACTCTGTAAATGCAGACATTTTTTCACAGTATGGCTAGTTTGAGGAATTCATTTCTCAGTCTTATCTACATTATTTGCAAGGCGTTAGTTCTTAAGATGTTAATCAGTTCTTTGAACCTGATATTATTTTGATCAGGACACCAAATCAGAAAACTCAATGAACTAAATACACACGTACATACATAGTTACGATATAACAACTATAATAGGGTACAATGGGACAATATTTGATAACGGATCTAAAGGGAACTCTGTAAATGCAGAAATTTTCCCACAGTATGGCTAGTTTGAGGAATTCGTTTCTCGGCCTAATCTACTTTATTTTGTAAGGCGTCAGTTCTTTCTTTGTAAGTATGTTAATCAGTTCTTTGAACCTGATGTTATTTTGATCAGGACACCAAATTAGAAACTCGATGAGCCAAATGAAGTTTTTTTTTTTATTTGCGCAAATATATGTCATCTCACCAATGAAATATAGATAGAATTTCATTGAAAATTCTTTAAACAATATTTTTAAAACCAAAACCAAATATATCAAAAATCAATCAATCACGTAACAATAACTTATGTATTTTTGTTACCACGTAACAATAACTTATGTATTTTTGTTACCACGTAACAATAACTCATTTTTGTTAACACGTAATGATAGCCCATTTTTATAGTGTGCTGAATTTATTGTCTATATAATTGCATAATCTGAGACACAAGTTTTTTTTTGCAACTATAAGGTTTTGATAATCATTAAACTTAGAAATTTAACAATTTTTAAAAGAGATTTATTATAGACAAAAATTTTGAATTTCCTTCTATAATTTTGGTCGGAAGAGAAGGCATGTTAGTTAAACTATTCAAAAAGAGTATATTCTGTATTATTATTAATTTTATATAATTTTATTAGGTGTAGGAAAAAGTACTGTCGGGAATATGTTATTAAAAGCATGCGGAAATTATAAAGAATTATTTGAAAAGTATGAGGGACCCTATGACGGATATGGTGGAGATGCATTTATTTACTTGTTTATTTATTAATTGATTTTTATCATTTTGTTGTTATTACTGTATGCTATAATGATATACCTTTTTTCTCCAAACATTACCTTACGTATCTCCTCAATACAATTTGTAGGGACGTAATCAGCAGCAACTAAAACTCGCCAAACTTTCTATAGGTGAAGAAAAATTTATCTTAGTGGATACACCGGGGTTTACAAATGAAAAAACTAGTACAAATAAAACATGGATAGAAATTAATAAAGCTATTGATAATTCATATGAACATGGAATTCGTGCTTTTCTCTTTGTACTTGGCATGTATATTTCAAATTCATATGTTTTTAATATATTTCGTGCACATAATAGTATTATTAATTTATACTTGCATTTATAGAAGGACGGCGTTTTACATCAGATAGAAGGTCTCATTTAGATGAATGCATGAAAAAATTAAATAATGAAAATGTAATCATAGTATTTACAAAATGCACCAAAGAACAAACTGAAATTCCTAAAAATATGAAAGATTCTTTTGCGGATTTTATTAATGAACATATTAAAAAAGTTAACAATCGATGGGTTGTTGCACCAAACCCTGATATTTATGATGAATGTAATGATATAGTTACTAATAATGTGAATTATTTAAAAACAATGATTTCCGAAATTAAAAAGCCTTGGAAAAGAGATAGAAAATCAAGTTTATGGCATATTAAATACACTTTGCCCTCTTGTTTTGTGATCTTGATCACTTCTTGTTTGATAGTGATTTTGATGATTATTCTCCAACGTATTATTTTCAATATAATTAATACACCTGGATTATCAGTATCTGAACCCGCAATCCTTTTACTAGGAGAAACCGGTAATTATTTAAATTTTATAAAATGCATGTATAAATTAATTTACATATTAAATTATAGGTTCGGGAAAAAGTACATTGGGAAATATTTTGGGAAATATTTTGAGTAAAGATTCTTGCAAGTTTAAAGCAGAATATAGCGTATGTAAATTTTAAAATAATATTGAATTTAAATATATTTACTATATGAATTTATTATAGCTCATTGTTTTTATTAATTGTATTGAATATAAAGAAAGATCCTGTCACCAAAAATTGCGAAAAATGCTCGATTATTATCAAAAACAATACTTACAATATTATTGATACACCTGGTTTAAACCAACCTACCTCAGTTGAATTAATTCATAACTTCAAAATAAAAGAAATCAGAGCGATTATTTTTGTTATTGTAATATCATATTCATTTTCTTTCTATTTACAATTATATAATTTATAATTTAATTTTTTTCATTATATAGATCCATTAGAATATGGAAGCCTCGATAATACTTTAGAAATAATAAAATTATTTGGTGATCAATCTATTAGCAATAAAATTGTGGCGTTTACTAAACTTGAAGGAAACCAAATAAAAAGGTGTACTGGAATTGATAAAAAATCGATTGAAAAGCATCTGAAAATAACTAGCAATACGACAGCACTATTGAAGTCTATTGGTTACAATTGGATTGTCTTTCCGAATCCAGAATTTAAAGAAGAGATTATTAGTGAAAGCATGAACAAAATAGAAAAAATGATAGAAACGTTTATTAAAAACTAGAAAAACGACAACGTTTTGTGGGCTGAAGCCTAAATTATGTTTTACAATTTGTAAATTTTATAAATTACTATATATTATTTTTAAGATTACACTATAATAAATTTATAACGAAAGCACTGTGTATATTTTGCCATAATATGTAAAATCTGTCAAAAGAAAAAACACCATCAAAAATTTAAGCAAATGTATAAACCCTTGATTTATTTTAAATGAATAACCAGTTACAAATTTATTATCTTCAATATTATTGCAGTATTAAAACTTATGGATTATAGTTTCCCAAACAAGACACAAAGAAAACTACGTGCGAGAGCAAGATATTCCTTTTTTCCCTGAATATTATATAGTTATTGGATGCGAAGCATCTAATAATTGGAGTTATACCAGGAATGGAGTGCTGGAATCACAAAGTATATAGTTTACAAAAGAATAAAATAGAGTTTGTCCATAAAATCTATTATCCAGTTGGTCAGCATGATTATATTTGCTACATATTGCCAGTTTTCACATCTCATGAGCAGTTTTAACAATTTTTATGAATATTAATTAAAGGAAAGTGTTTTCTATTTGAGAACACTTAATAATTTTTTTAATATTTAAAAAACATTTAATTTTCTAACATTAAAATTTTTTGAGAACATTAAAAATGCAAAAGGTGCTTTTTGAGAAAATAAATCAAGTTTGAATTTCAAACACTGTCCATGAGATTATTATTATTATTATTTTGGTATTAAAGTGAGGCCTTGCTTGTATCTTTATTAATAATGTTTAAAATAGCATCAATGTGAATTACTACAACAATGTAGAGGCTTACAGAGTTGCTACTATTTGCACTAGTATAAATAAAAATAAAAATTACATGCAAGAATAAAAGCTCAGACAGGGAAAAATTTATCTGTAACCTAAACCTACTAGAGCGGCCAACCTAAACCTACTAGAGCGGCCAAAGACTCACCTAGGTTACTATAGTTAAGATATAATTTAAGGAAAAACTATACTTGGTCCAATGTATAAACCAAGTATTAATTTTCTTTTTGGTCTAGCCAACTAGTAGACAGACTCCAGTATGTGAGTATAATTGGTTTAGTAATTCATATAAACAAGAGTATGTATATGTTTGTTGTATATAGTTAATATTTTTAAATTGTTGATTTGGGCTTAAAATATCAGAGTTTGGATCATCAAATTGTTGAGTAGAGTTAGAGTTGTTGGACTATAGGAAGTTTAATTGTTGTTGTTTTTTTTAATTAGCTAAATTTATACAATAAGATTTCTATATTTATTTATATAATTGATTATTAAATTTAAGAATATATTTAATTGATACCGGGGGATATTGATATCCAGGGTACTATATCTCAAAAACTTGATAAGAAAACAGGG